TACGTACTATTTTATTTTTCTATAAATACGACTGCAAACGCATATATTTTTTCACAACAATTTATATCAAAAGACTAAAGTCTTAATAATTTTGAGTGGAGTGGAGTCTAGAATGTCTGCATTTCTAAATCAACGTTCTTCGTCATCGTCATCATCATCGGAGGAACCGTTTCCAACATTTCCTCTAATGAAAAGAAATGCCCTAGTTTATTTTTCAGCAACAAAGCCTCTGATGAAGGTGCTCCTGTGGAATACGCAGACGTTGGAGCATTTGCATAGGGAACTGAACCGCTGGCTAGAAGGAGATATTGCTACAGGTGAAAAGATTAGGAAAATTGAGAGGTTGGTCGAGGAGACAGGGAGAAACGGAGTTACTTGTGAATGGAGAAAAGTGGAAAATGATGATGGTGTCCTTGTGATGATGTTAACACCAAAGAAGATAACGTTGATGGTTGTGATATCGTAGACACCTTGATGTATTGTTCTGTTTTATGTCTTTATGTTGTTGTTATTTTTGGAATGTTGTTGTGATATTAAGTTACGCTTGTTTAATTTATGTTGCTTGCTAATTGTAATCGGTTAAATATGCTTTAAATGGAGTGAAATTTTCTATTGATTTAAAAGGACACGTTAGGACATTTTGTACGATTGTGTCCTGGTTGCCGACATGAACTACATAATCTTACCATCTTGTTTGCGGTATCCATCTCCGTTCGAATGTGCGTGCTGTTAGGGCGACCCTTTTTCTTTCTTCGCATCAAATCATTATGCCAGAATTTCGCCTTCGCATTGAGGCCAATAGTCCTCCTTTGCCACCACCTGAAATCTACATGTGTAGACATTGCATAAACTTATCACTTGGTGAACTGCAGAAAGAAGGTTGGTTGGGTCCTGATGCGCCTTCGAACGTGCTGCTATAACATGAGAGCAAGGCATTCGAAATGCCTGAAACTTCCCACAATCACACCAGCTCCTATCCAGTTCAACCCGGTAACATCCCATAGGCCTTCATTCGTTGTGATCAATTGACTCGGCAACACTGAACCAACCTTTGTTACGGTCAAAGATTGTAACCACATGTGTGTTGGCTTTGGCAGCTTCGTCTTTCATGAATGTTGTTGAACTATTATTGTACAACTGACCAAATTGTAATACTGAACCCCACTTCGTACGTCTGCTATCAAAGAGTGCGCCTAGCCTAAAATATGTTGCCTTTACCAAGGCAGTTATCGGTAGGTTTCGGATTCCCTTGAAAACAGAATTCATTGATTCAACGAGGTTAGTTGTCATGTGGCCCCATCGCACCCTATTGCCGTATGTCCGTGTCATTTCTCTTTATCAATGTTATCAATCCATCTTAATGCATCCGTGTTTGTTAGTCTGATCTCGGCACGGTAGTGTTTGAATGTGGGCTCTGTTAGTGCATATCCTGCGTTCACAACCTTCTTCCTTAGTGTTTTGTCTTTGATTTCCCGCATGAAATTTTGGGCGATATGTCTTATGCAATACACATTGGTCATTTTTTATTTCCAGAGGACACTGGAAATACTATAAATATTATGTATTTACCGTTGCTGCAAAACATAAACAAAGTGCGCACATATAGTTGGGGATCAGCTGCCCTCACCCATCTATATAGTGCACTATGTAAAAATGCAAAAAAACATTTCTTGTACATTTTATGGCTGCGCCTATCTCCTTCAAGCGTGAGGTTGGTCTAGGATGCCAACACTTGCTCTAGTCAACCGTAATCCATTTACATTCCCATATGCTAACAAGTAAGTTTATTTTCAAGACTATTTTACAACTAAAGTTTCTTTGTAACTTAATAATTTGTACGATGTGTCTTAGAGTCTAACTTATATGTGTTTCTTTTTTTTAGGTGGTCTGTTCCGGGGATGAATTATCAAAGATATCCCAGGAACTCCATAATCATGTACCGCAACCTCATCGAACACATTGGGCCAAATGATGTAATTTATCTACCTTTACTTTGTCTAACTGATATGCACAAACTTGTATTTCTCATTGCGTATATTGTTATTATAGTTTGTTTGGATGTCGTACGAGGGTCTCGACCACCAGCCCGATGATGCTGTGTGGACATCCAAAACACCTATCATTAGGTTCACTACGATGGAGATGCACCAAAGTGACCGGGTGAAGCTACAGTTTGGGATGCATCAGGATATTCCAGATGCTTCGACGTCATTGTGACAGTGGCATCAGCTACAGATGGATTCACAATGGAGTGTCGGTCATTGGAAGGAGTTTGCGAAGGATATGTGTCAGCATTGGAAGAACTGACGGCAACACATTTTAACCGACCATATTGTGGAAAGGGCTAAGCCAAGTTATCAATATATGACTTGGTTTAGGTCGGTTACAACATCACAACTTTCTGTTTGAGCCGACATATTTGATTGACCCAAGGCAACGTGCTTCTTCCTCAAACACACAACAACAACCTAATGCCCAACATCCACAACAACAGCCTTACCATAACCCATACATGCCACCAAATGCCCAACATCAACAACAACAGTCTTACCATGACCCGTACATGCCACCAACCCAATCACAACAATAACAGCCTTACCAATATAGCCCTGATACGTCTTTTGACTCTACCCCCTCCACCTATAGCCCATATAACTCTTTTGACCCTACCCCTCCATTATCCACTGTTTGACTATCAAACCCCACAACAACCAACACATCGTTTCCAACCCGATTCGATGTACCAATTCGAACAACCATATCGTCCATACTCCACTCAACCTCCTCGATAATCCTATGAACACATGGGCATTGGGCTTAACTACGGAAGCGCTGTTGATAGTGGACCTCCCGGCTATTGAAGTCAAATGCTTCAAAATTTATCTGATACGTCGGAGCCGTCCGAACAAATACCTCTTTCACAAGTCAACACCCAAAAACCGGACACACCTCAGCAACTTCGTGGTAGACCTCGTCACCGCGCGCATCCTCCACAATGTGGTACCGGTAGTCGTTTAGATAGAGCCGACCATTAATTTTTTTTATCAATTGTAATTTATATTCTATTATAAATTCATATATTTTAATATTTTTTCCATTTATTTTTTTAGATTATTTAGATTATTTAAATTCTATCCACTTTTTTTATATAAATTATGAAAAACAAAAAATATAAAAATAAGAAACAAATAAATAGAAAAGAAAAATGGCAAAACGGAAAAAAAAAACGAATCCATTAAACACTAAAATATTTTCGCCAGCTCAAATAACAACAACATTGAGAGTTAGGAAGACTCGTCAATCTATTTGGCGACTCAGGGTACAATCTTAGCCATTTTAAGAAATTATTTCAACTCTTAATTTATTTAGTATTTTTTTTAAATCCTATGGTTATTCTAAAAAAAATTCCCATAAATATCACATTGTAATCACACTATTGAACAATCATTTCACTCTTTCAAAATCTCAATTTTTTAATATTTTATAATTCTTTAGTCTTAAAAAGTAAAATAAGTTATTTTCCTTATAAAATCTACCATTCAAATATATCCAAAATAAAATACAAGTTATTTATTTGAGTAATAAATATATTATAACGGTGACACAATATCTATGTCATATCAATTTTAAATTGGAATGTGTATGAAAGTAAACAATGTAAAATTATTTTAAACTCTCATGTATAGGGATGTAAATGGATATCCATGGGGCAGATACTATGATATCTGTATCCGCCCCGTTAAATAAATATGATATTCATATCCGTCCCATATCCATGTGGATATCTGTTAAGCGAGTAATCCACGAGTTTTATGGTATCCACATATATTTATAGATATCCATAAATAATACTTTTTTTATAAAAAATATTTTTTAAGAAAATTATTTTTAACTTATTTTAAAGACACAAAAATTTATTATCACATAACATTCATACAAAAGATTCAACAGAGGAATGATGGAAGATCAGACGACAGAGGAGTAGGAATGGAGACACTAGTTCAACAAAGGAATGACGATATTAGTTGGTTGGACTGTGAAATTGATGAAATGAAGTATGAACGAAGAGTTTAAATATGAAATGACAAATAAAATTTGAATGAAAAGTGAAAGATTTTTTAAAAAGAATTAAAAAATAAAAAAAAAAGTATAAGAAGACTAATTTTTTTAAAAGATGTAAAGATAAAGTATAATAAACTAATGATATTTAAATAATTTTCATAATTTATAAACGGATATGGACATCTCCGGGTATGGATATCATTAAACTCATATCCATATCCATTAACAAACGGGTATTTAAATATCCATTTATTTTATCCATGGATATCCATTAAACTAACAGCCCATATCCGTGGCAGATTTTTTCCACGGATATCCGCGAGTATGGATATTTTTGCCATCCATGTACTTCCTATTTTCTCTAATTATTTATGGTCTTATTTTCCTTTTCATGTTTTCTATTTTTATTTGTATAAAATAACAAATTTTAAAATACATTTTATGAGAATAGATACACATAACACTTACACAAACCAGTCGTTTCCACCTTTCATGTTTTAACTTTCACTTCAACCAACGGCATTATAATATGACAAAAAATTGTTTTTAAATTTTTAAAAATGTATTCTTCCTCGTTTATATATTAATTAACAATTTAAAATAACATAAATTTTAATAATAAAACTGAATATATTTGAGAAAATAAACAGACCTTATGTTGGCTACTAATAAACACAAATAGATTTTGTTTGAAATAAACAACTTCAAATTTACACAAAAACATCCATAATGTAGTTATATACCAGATACAGATTTCTCACAAAGTATATAATGATATTACAAATGACTTGACTTCTACACAACAACAAAGAAAAGCTATTAAAGAATTCGCACACTGCCACACAGTTCAAAATTATTGCATTGTTGCCAATAACTTTAAGAACCCCTTATTAGCTTACCATTTTCAAAGGTATAGGCACAACAACAATATAGCTAATTTAAGATGATGCAGTTTTGGTGTTTGGGTTGAAAGGACGCTGCTCAGCACAGGTAAGAACATCATGGGTCCCGGCTTTTTCGCGACCTACACCTAGAAGATCAAGATAGTATAGGAAATGGGACGCAATATTGTTCATTGAGTCAACATCACCCTGTCCACAAACACCTTCACCATAGAGAATGTTCATTGTGGCGCCGAAACCAGGTACACGGTTCTCCATAGTGTCGTTCTTGGTAGGCTTCCAGTTACCGACGAAGGCATCGTGAGCAGAGGGCTGTGCCTTTTTGACTGGCGTCATCCATTTCCAAATTGCAGCTTGGAAAGCAAGGGTTGCATTCTGCTCAATGTATTCTGGATGGTCAAGTAGATTCACCTTCAGAGCTTCTCCGGCAGCTCCATAATTGTAGTTCCTATGTTGATGGTACCAATTAAGCAGGGTCACAAAATACAATATTCTATCAATAAGCAGATAAATAAATACCGGACAATTCAAGTAAAACCAGCTCCATAACACATAACTACAACTGGTTTTTATAGAAGTGTGCATGCAAGTCAGGTTTAAATCTTCACAGGACTTGAGTGTTGCCTAAACACTTGAAGAAACATGTTACTTATGCTCATCATCAATTGTAACATAACTGATAAACCAATAATCTTGCAAGTTGGGTTAAATATTAACATTCAACAAAACAGATTAACTTGGTACTATGGCCAGGGACATTGCAAACTTTCTATTGTAAGCTTTTAGTAGTATGTAGACATACATACCAGTAAATAGGAATGGCTCCACGTCCGTAGTATTCAGCCCCGGGAGTGCAGGGGTATGTTAATTTGTAATAGTCGTCACAGTATGTCTGGCTAGGACTCATCTCATGATTGTAACATAGACCCCAGGCCGTAGGTCCTCCAGTTGCCACTCCATAACCACCTGGCATCAGCATTACAAGAATAATAAGCATCCAAATTGACAAAGTTACAACTCAACCAAATCAACCTTTTTGCCAATATTCAAGTTCTACTATACAAATGATAAACCTAATTCAGATGCATCAAAATAATGAACTTTCACTAAAAACATTTTTATCTAGGTAGCCAACAGTGGTCGTCATACCGCCATTGTGTAGGCAATACACAAAATCCCAATATGTTGCCTTTTTCAGTAGCAGCTACTAGGCCTCTAGAGTGAAGCTCCTTGAAATACTTAAATATAACCCCAATTTAAAGCAATTTCCATTGCTCTTTTTGGATGTGTTTTTTTTTGTCATTTTACCCTAAAACTCATTTGCTTTATATTGAGCTTGAATATTGGTAATAAACTCTTATTATTAGTTATGACCATGTCTTCAATTCCGTATATTCTTCTATTTTATAGCTTTTATACACATATATATACACACATACACACACATGAAACTTATAATACAGGCCCAAAAAATCCCCAACACATTTGTTTACGATCTTGCTTAAAAAAGCTCGATCTTCGCGGGCGAAGCAAACGATCTTTCTCTAATCGTAGCACTCTGAGGCATCCTTAACACGTAAGATCTTACGATGTATTATTGTCCTAAACTTCAATGTAGGCGTCGCGGCCATAACACTGCCTGCTATGGGGGTCGGCCACTTTGCTCCTCAACCTCCTCTTAACTACACATGCTTCTATCTTACCGTCAAATATGCCACATTTCATTTCAATCATAAATTAAGTAAACAACCACGACGACAACAACACCAACTAAATTTCTTACATAATCACTAGCAACCAAGGTTTTAAGAAATAGTTCGTTACGCAATCAGTGAAAATAGCCGTGGCAAAACAATATTGGAAGATGCCAGCACCAATACTGTTATTCACCGTTTTTATTATAAAGAAAAAATTATGGTTAATTCACACCGTGAAAACCACAATCAGTGTTCCAACACTTGCACCGACCTAAATAGCGAAAGCTTTTATGCGCCGTTATTTAAAACCCTACAACTAAGCAGTTAAGCCGTCAACGTCACTCAACATCATATGCAATCAAGATCTGCAGCAGACCATTCAATCACACCACAGCAATTCAGTTAACCCAACTTTACAAACATGATAGACTCAGATCTAAAATCTTCTCAATCAACTTCAAAATCAAACATCCAAAATTCCACGAATACCAAAGACAAATCTGATTATCAAATACATCTCTAACCACTATTATACTCTCAGAAAATACCAAAGGCAAATCCAATTAAAACTTTGCAATTTCAGCTATTATTTTCAAAAAATATATAGTTAATATCAAAGACTAAGTTGCTACATTCCTACAATTTAGTAACTAAATTTACTAAATTAGGATAATTACTAAAAATAAAACAAGCAAAAAAAAAATAACAAAAACAAATCTAAGAAGAAATCTTACAAGAGGTTTTGGATCCAACGTGTCCAAGAAAAGCAGCAATCTCCATCATCTGCATAGTTTTATTCCCGGTAGTCCCAAACCCCTGCGGCTCAAAAAGCGCAGCCGCATTAATAAACGAATGATAATCCCAAAACCCAACGGCATGAGCTACCGGAGTGTTCCTCTTCGAAAACAGATTCTCGAAATGATACGTCTGAAAATAATCGCTTATCGTCAAATTACAACAATAAATCGACCAATCCTTACATTCCCAACCTTGCTTACAGTACTTTTTGCCGCGCTTGTATTTCACTTCTAACTTAGGGTTTGAATCCTCGCCGTTCACGGTGGTTGTTGCGTCGGCCAGGAGAATAACGAATGCTATTAGCAAAACGATGGCGTTTTGATTCGCCATGTTCTCAGAATGAATGAAATGAAACGAAGTGTTTAGTGTTAGTGGTTGAATGTGTTTATATGTGGTTATGGATTGAACGGTCTGAGATTGATCGGACGGTGGAGAGAGTGTTGGTGGAAATTGTGGGGGCGTTGAAGTGTCGGATGGTTAAGTAAGAACAGACTGGAATTGAAGTAAGGAACAACCAGGCTTCTTATCACCGACAGCTGAGGTGGATGTGTGAAATGACGATATTGCCCTTGCTGGTTTCTTTTTTGTTTTTTGTCGGTTGGGTTGTTCATATGTCTATTGTCATGAACAATTTGTTTTCGAGAGTGACGCCACAAAATACATATATAGGAAATTTAAGTGTGGTTTATTAAATGTTGAATTTTGATTTATAACTGGTAAAAATGTTGACTTCGGGTTTAGTAAAAAATAATTTGGACTTATACACAAGCTACATTGGATGTGAGAGATACTTTTAGATATGGTATCTACTATTTATCTAATATTAAACAATTGAATGCTTTGTCAACAATGTTTTTTTAGTCAAAAAAAAGTTTTTACTAACAAAAGAGTGATTTAGTAAATAACAAAACATCACATTAATTCACTTCTTCTTACTCTTTTTCTTTTTCGTCCACATGTCACACTCATTAGTTTTGATACTACATTCTTTTTCCTCCCATATTTTTACTCATTTGTTTTTTCAATTCTCTCTCCTCAACTCTCTTTCACTATTGAGACAACAACAACCTTTCCCTTTTCTCTATCTCTTTCTCTCATCTATTTTCTACCTTCTCCTTTCTCTTGGGCCTTTAAACCCTAACGTGGCCGAAACTCACCGTGAAATGAAAGACGAAGCGAACTCACAAATGTAAAACTCATAGTCACGCAAATATTCGATACAAAATAATATAGTTTTGTTGAATTCTGTTTCAGGATAACTCATCAATTTTGAGTTACGGGCGTGTAATTTTTGCACAAGAAAGTGGTTCTAGTTGCTGATGTTGCTCAAGTACATTCAAACTTATATGTTATTGTTTGTTTGTTTGTTGTTTGTAACTTTTGAATTGGTTTCAATCCAACACAAAACCCTCATGAATTCCCCCGTTAATCGAACACAAAACCCTAAAAGTTCTGCTCTTTACACTTTTATTTATGTGGGTTTGTATGATTTTGTGTAGTTTGCAGCAATGAGCCAAGTACTGTGGGATATGGAAGAAATGCACTTGTCATGTTTGCAAGCAAGGTTGCAAGCCGAAAGAGTATTCCAAAATCAACACATGAATCATTTTCTACTAAGAGTGATGCAGGTAATTTGAAGCAAGCCTTTAAGCATGGTCAATTTTAAGGTCCGGCTAGGCTGGGCATATGCCCAGGCTCAGACCCAAATTTTTTCTTCTTATATAAAAAATAATGAAAATTGTGGCAGTTAAAATGTGATATTGGCGGTTTAAACCGTCACAATTAACGAAAGTGCAAAAAAACATGACAATTTTGAATAAAATTGACTACCACAGAAAATGTCATAATATACATTGAATAAAATAGCGGTTTCTTTGTCATTGATAATGATATTTTTTACCGCCATAAATTAAATATTTTTCACAAATAAAAACACGATTTTTTTAAAACCTTTTTTATGCAATTAAGCATACATTACATCAATTTTTTTTTGATATTATAATATTTAGATTCAACTACACTATAAAAAGTACAAGAATTGAAATAAAGAATAAAGTTGCAATTTAAGAAAAAATTAATAAAAAACAACAAAATGAATACTTAGGAGAAATAAAAATTAACATAAAAGTAACAACTACTAAAATTTTAAAAAACATATACAGTGTTGTAAAAAAGGAGAAGAAAGGAATAAATTTGATCCTCAAATAATATAAAAAATATATTAGGTGTTCGATAAAATGTTTTAATCAATTTCTCGTTTATTCTCGCTTCAATTCCTTTACTTCATGATATTCTTGTTGTTGATGATTGTTGTTGTTGCAGGTTGTGGTTTATGAATTATGGTGTTGAATTGTCGTTATTGTTTGTTTCACTTTATGTTACATGAAGTCCAATACTTCAATTTATGTTCACTTTATATAAATTATATGGTTCAATTTATGTTAACTAGTTAGAAAATCAAATTTTATTTTGTTAACTTGTTGCTAATTTCATGAATCACATGAAATGATGTTCCATGTTATAATCAACCTCAAATTGGATATGGCTATGTTAGTTATAAAATTTTGTCGAGATCAATGTAATTAAAGATATTTTATTTTGATTGATAACTTTTTATATATTATATTATATATACAATGTGAATTTGCGTTCTTTAAGTTTTTGCCCAGGCTTCAAAAAATTTCTGGCTTCGCCATTGCCTTTAAGAATGATGAAGGGATTGGGCATGCAGTTAGAGAACACTCAATACTCATGGCAATTCTTCAGGCTCGTCCCGTAAGTTGTTTTCATATAGATTTGTTATAATTTATTTGGTTTTTGGTGTGGTCAAAAACATTATTAACTCATTCATTCTCATTTGTATTTTACTAGATTGAATATGCACTTCCAAGTCTATTGTGGTCAATTATGTCTTTTGATCAAAGATCAAAATGAAGATGTTATTATAAGGTCTCTCAAACAAAGCTTACTAAGTTGTTTCTGGTGTTGCTATTGTTTATTTTTTGAAAACTTGGTATTGTTCCAAGGATTGATAATCCGGTGGACCAATCCTATGATTTGGTCTTGCAATTGTTATGTTTTAACTTTGGATCTTTAAAGAATTAAATCTAAAACAATATGTCTTGAGTCCGTAATGATGTTATCTTTGTGAGTTTCAATCTTCTGTCATTTCCCAATAGTTATATAGTATTTATTTTTGTGTCTTCATTTCCTTTTGCTATACAACAAGAAAGAAGTTTAAATGTTTAGTGCTTGTGGCTAGAAATTCTGAATATAGGACTGATTTGGTGATCACTTTCCCTGGTGACACTATCTTTGCGAGTTTCAATCTTCCATCATTTCCCAGTAGTTATATATTATTTATTTGTGTCTTTGTTTCCTTTTACTATACAATGAGAATGAAGTTTAAATGTAATCCTGAATTTTTACTTAGGTACCTAAAAAGGATAATGAGGCGACTTCCGATTTGTACGCATTGAACCAAAAGTTGTACGATTCGTGTCAAGTGTTGCTACAACTTTGTTAGGATCAAGAGGTTGTTAACCTTGCTACTCTTGCTAGTTTATTTTGTTGTTATTCTGTTATATGTTTGAAGGGGAAGGGAAGGGATAATTAAATGAATTGAAGAACTATTTATTATAGTGAACACTTTGAATTTAAGGGTTTGTTTTGTGGTTTTTTGGATGTTGTTATCTAACACAAGCTTCTCTTTAAAGTGAACAAAATTGTATGAATCCCAAAGTAAAAATTTAACATAAACAGTATAAAACTATTTTATCTGTATGTTGGGGAATTCTTGCTGGTGTGAAGTGTTCTGCATGATAAAGATTACTTTTCAAGTTTCAAGTCAAATGCTTTAATTAGAAAACTGTACTGGCTTTTAGCATGTACTAAAAAGGATATATATGGAATCCTTGCTTTAATTTGATAAATAGACTAAGTGTAGAATGACAGATAAGTCAAGGATTTAATGAAAGAAATGTAATATCTTCTAACTAAGACATTTTTGTAAGGCTTTTAGGGATATGTATTAAAACATATCCAACTATGTATATCTTTATACATACTGGTATACATAACGTGTACCAATATTCTTTTACTTGCACTCTATCAGAACCTATTTGACCCCTACACTATTTTGAATGTTGAATAGTAATTATGTATTGACAGTTAAATGTACTTTGGATTTTTGTGCATCTCGATTCAACACTGTTACTTGCAGTTTTCTTTGAGTTGAAATGCATCAAAATATCTTTTCAGTTTATATATTTGATAGTTAAAGACGAATATATGATTCAAGTATATGCTAAAAATATGATTCAGTGTTGATTTATATAGTTCAAGTATATGCTAAAAATACTTATATTTTGTTTTTTTTTATATATTTTGTATGATTCAATTTATATGATTTTATTTATATTTCTTATTGATACTAATACTTCACTTATATCACTAAAAAATTCAATTTCACTAGCAGTTTTCAATTTCACTAGCATTTTTCAATTATATGACTTATATGAATTGTATTTTTTATTGATACTGATACTTCGCTTATATCACTAAAAAATTCAATTTCACTAGCAGTTAGAAAATTACACTTATATCAAGATCAATTTTTTTGAAGCGAATATTAAATGTAGTTTAATTATGAAATAATGATTTGAGATTTTATTTAATCATTAATTAATTATTATAAAAAATTTAGGAGGATTTATTTAGTTATGGATTAACGGTAACAAATTTGAATTCAAGTGCGGTAGTCCGTCTTGTTAGAATTAATCTTTCTATAATAATATTCAATTCTTTTAGTTTATTTAAGATTCTTATTCTTCCATTTTCACTCAAATGATTCAACCACACCTTAATTGCAAGATGATTTTCTCGCACAATGATTTGAAAAAGAAAAGAAAATTTGGAGTTATAAGAGAAGATAGAATTAAAAGAGTATTGGTTATTCAAGTGAAAGGAAGAATGTATTAATCTTCTCTTGATCTTCCTGATCTGATATCTACTTACAAATACAAAGTGACTTCCTATTTATAATGAGACTACTTGCACATCAAGCAATTTTAAACTAATAAATTTCGACAATTTGTATTCGTTTTTGTCGGATACATACAACTTTGACTACTACAAGTTGTCTTCGATTCTATTCAATACATGTACATTAGAATCTGTCGAATCATGCATCTATAAACATGTTTAACACAAAGAATTACATATTTAACACATCATCTAATTCATTGTGTCTAAGTTATCAGTCATACCTTGAAAATGAGAACACTGTCTCACAAAGTGCAATCACACACTTGCGGGATGGACTTAATAGA